TACAACTTAAGTAACAGGTGACCCACAAAAAAAATGGATAGCACATAGTTTCATCACCTTTTGAGCCAAAGCAACAAGAAACCTGGCTCTATGTGTATTAAGCAATGGACTGCAAAGTACGAAAGAGTATCCCTCCCCTGCGCTATGCAACAAAGTTTCACCAAAGGTAGAATAGGGTTTAATCCAGTTTTCAGTTTTACTAGTCCAGCATGTTCCTTTTGAACAGAGAATGCTACACCTTTGATGAAACTTCACATTCTTTCATGTGAAGGCTTCAGCTAAATTATGGCAACTTCTCAGAGCTGCTCAGAGCCTTCTCCACGATGTCTGCTATTGCTCCGGTCCAGTGCGCTGTTTCCTGCCCTGACATGCTCACCACAAGTAGTCCTGCGTACAGCATACCATCCGGTCCGAGCAGCAGACTAAGCAGAGGCCAAGCTCAAGCACTGGCATGTGATGTTTGCTACCACATTCCATGGCACAGCTTCAGCCTCCAACAACCACTGCTCTCCCAGGCAATGCCTGGCCACAATGTGGGGATAGGACAGGTCACAAGCTGCCTCCAGCTGGCTCTGTAACCGAGGCTATCTTTTGGTTTTTGGCTGGGGATAGGAGCAGAGTTTCAAGCTGTGCTGTGCCACTTGTCCTACAGGTCAGAGAAGAAACCCAGCTGCTTAACTGACTAGCACAAATATGGCTAAAAGAGTCTTTCTTGGGCTGGATACAGGGATTTGAAGTTACACTCACACAGGAAAAAGCAGCCGTGAAAGCTGGGAAGTACTATGTGAAACATGCAAAGCAAACACGTGCTTTTTCTCGTTCCCTTAATTCCCTGTTCTATCAGGTCTGTTTGAACTGAATTTCCAATTGGTTTGCTTTTCTAGTTTTAAATGGATTCTAAGAAATATTATTAACCATAAATCTAACCCTAAAGGATGCTATTAAAAATGTAATTTGGGTCCCAAAGAGCACAGATTCACTTAGTCTACTCAAAACAAATGAGAGCAAACACCCTCTTTCATTTGATAGAAATGAAACAAAAGTGGCATGTGGCTTTAGGAAATAAATTATTAACCAATATGACATAAGAATCTGCCTACCATGAACCCATGAGGCTGTTATGCAGCCCTTGGGACAGCTGGAAAGCAAGCAACAGCTCCTTCGGTCCATCAGCCTTAGGATTTCTTTCTTTCTAATCATTTCTGTATTTAATGTAAAATTACAGCCAGTAATGAATAGCATAGTGTTTTTTAAAGCAATTAAAACCCTGACAACTTTTGACAGGCAGTGACTAGCACTTTTGGGAAATCTATTCTGTGGCTTACAATAAATCCTTGCCTAATCCACATAACTCCTATTATTATAAGACTTGTATAATCACTCAGATGTACACATCATAAGGTAAAGAGAAAGAAGACATGGAACCACATTCTGAAAGCCTTAGACTTCAGCAGGTTTATAAAACGTTATCCAAGAAGATAATCCATCCCTATCTCACAAGGCTAGCAATCCAAGGCCTGAATTTTTCAAACATCCTTGCCATCACAAAAATTATGAGTATTTGCACAATCAAGCCCCATGTGACTACCTCACTTTGGTTGATTTTGTTTCTGAGGTCTTGGTCCTTCATACTGCAAGCAGCTGAGTATACAGAATCATGACCATAATACTTTTTTAGCTCCTACTAACAGAAGCATAAGCAGCAAGATGAATTCAACATGACAGTCTACAACTTGCTAGGAAAAAAAATGCCTTGAGATTTTTAGGGGGGGAAAAAAGAAAGGAAAAAGGACTGAAAACACTGTTTACTGAAGTTCAGGTTTTCTCCTACTCTACTCTCAAACTGCGTTTCAAAATAGCATAGCGATATTCACTATTGGATAGCTACAGCTATGCACATTCTAACATAAAGATCAAGCATAGCTTATTTTTCAAGGCATACACACAGAATCATTAGAAGGTATTGAGATACTGGACAACAGCTAGTTAAGTGTCTTATGAGGTGAATAAGATCCACCCCCACCCCCTCCAAGTCATTCACCTGATGCAGAAGTTCTTTCAACTGGCAGCAGATAGCATATGATAGACAAACAATTAACAAACCACAAATATGTTATTCCTCCTTCATACTAATAATTGTGCTGACTCTGCAGGGATCTCATTAGACTAAATCCTTTAACTAATGTGCGCAAACGACATTGTTAACTATAGTCAGTAGCTGAAATTCCAGCAATTAAAGCAAAATTCCCACAGAAGAAGATCTTCCATTAATTCTGTTTTACAGAAGACCAAAGTGAACATGCAGCAGTTTGCTACAGATCGTTTCGGTGTTAAAAGTTTATTTTCTGCATCGTAA